CCTCCATAGTAACAATTAAACTGATACTTGACCAAACAACTGGGCACTAATAGTTTACTCAAGGGGGAAAATAATCAAAATGTGGATGAAAACAAAAACAAAGAAAGGAAAGAACGTTAACCAGGAGTAAAAGCTTCTTAGGAATGCAATAAGCAGACAAACATATCAATCTTACTCATTTTCTGTTGATTACAAATTGCTCTGGGAAATTAATAAAAACCCTTCTGCATTTGAATAATCTCCTTAGGGAGAGTCTTAGGGATAAAATAAATAAATGAGGCTCACTATGTCATTTTAAGAAGCTCCTGAAGAAATCAAGTCAAGGCTTCATTACAGGTAAAGGTAGAATATTTCTATTTCATGTGATGCCATATGTTGACAATATCCAAATATCTAAAATCTTAGTGACATATAACAAATAACACTTTAACTGATTCTATGGCAAAGCCATTGCAAAATAACAGTATTTCTGATTCGTTTCACTATACATTCTAGAAGTTGAGAATACCTAAGAAAATAGATGTGCTCTTTCTTTTTCAAGAATTATTTATTCAATTTTTTTAAAAACATATTTTTGTCATTTTTTAAACTTGCCATAGAGCACATGTGCTCACAGGAGAGACAGAGATGAGAGAGAGAGAAAGTAAGCCACCAGGTCTGGGACTTTAACAGTGGTCGGCCATGTTAAGAGGCTAGTGCCTCAAACACTATGCCACCTGTTGGCCCTAGGTATGCTCTTTTTTAAAGTATTACTTATTTACTTCCTTATAGAAAAAGGCAGAGAGACAGAGAGCAAAGGGGACAAAAAGAGGTAGAGACAGGTGACCTCAACAGTCTCTGTGTCAATATTTAAAATTAATTAATTATAATCATAATCTTGTTTATATTGCATTGAATCACATATAACTTTATAGTGTATTACATTTCTTTTTCCAGAAGGAATACCATGCATATCAGTCAATACAGAGACATTAAAATCTCCATTTCATCATCCAATAGCTTTTCATTTTTTTCCCGATTATTATTATTATTCCAATGTTTGTGTCAATATCTTTGCCTGAGTCCTGCAGCCAGAGATTGTCACAGGCTTGGGTGGAAATACCGAAGTTGTTCGGGTAGACCTCAGATGCATACCACCCAAAGCCTTTCCATGTGATCTATAGCATCACATAGCAGCTTCCCTACACCCTGCATAATATCAGTTGGGCAAGGGCTGCTCTTCTTTATCTTCAGATTAATTTTTCACATCATTTTACAAATGCTAATAAAACACTTTGGAATATTGTTGCTACATGGCTCATATAACATTTATATTTTAAATAAATAGCTAAGTATATAAATAATAGAAGTGAAAAGTGAGAGTAAATAAAGTTTAACCAAGGAGTCAAAAATTAAAGACATATATGTAGCAGAATTACAAAGTTTCAGGTATTTTGTTTGTAATTTGATATCTTTCCAAACCCTTAGTCATTCAATGACTCTAAACCCTATATATTTATTTTTCAAAGCATATGAACACATTAATGTATGTTTTTGTAAGATTATGAACATCCATTTCTTCCCCTGATCTGTAGTTGAGGAAACAATGTAGGATTTCATCTTGCATTGAGATGTGAAAGGCAAGCAATTTTCAGGGGAACGTTCAACAGAAAACAAATTATTTTCTGAAAGAGTACAGCTTAAAAATATAAGAATCAGATAATAAGCCTTGAAAGTAAGCTATGAAGAGTAAATTTGTTAATTTGGATAAAATCATAAAGCTGATGAATAAAAGTCCTCCTTTGGGACCAGCAGTTAGCGTAATGTCTATGTCGCTGGACTCTCACGTAGTTGACCCTGGTTCGAGTCCCGGACCCAGTGACTTAAACTCATGCCGGGCATGTGTGCGTGCGTGCCCAAGATCCCAAGAGGAGAATGGAGGAGAAGGGATTGCAGTGTGGCCATCCCCCCTGGGGGGTGATTTCTCACTTTCTATCTCTCTGAATCTCTCTGTCTGTCTGGCGAGCGCACGCACCCTATAGCAAAAACCCCTCAAAAAAAAAAAAAAAAAGTCCTCCTTTGATCTTCCTTGTTTTGTGGCAAAATCAGCACTTGACAATGTACTTGCCATCACTGCAGCTGAGCTAGATGTATACTGCTTCTTATTCAATATATTAAACTTTTTTTTTCTAATTGTAATTTAGTGTTTCCAACACAAGAAATAAATGGGTGTAGGGACAGTGTAAGACATCAGAAGCTTATAAGCAATACTTTATATGAGCTGAAGGCAGATTTTCCTTTTTTTCAGATTTTCTGTTAATGCTTTTACAACTTAATGCTATAATACTCTACTTTCTATTTGCTTTCTTATAACTCACAATTGTTTAATCCATTGATTCATTTACCTTATTCTGACATCTTTTTTTCTATCCCAGTACTTTCCAAAAATTGTGATTCATTTGGGATATATATAAATACAGATACATATTTTCCTCTTTTTGTTGTTATATTTATTGACATTTTATGCCACAAGGTAGTATGAATGAATTCTTTGTGGCCTTAATGTACAGAAAGATTTAAAATTGCATCCCAGAATAATAATGTATGCATATATATATACCTTATATATGAAAATAATATGCACATACATATGTGTACACATATATGAGAGTACTCCAAAAAGATTGTGTAAAATGGGATTAAAGTATAAATTCATTGGTGCAAAAACTTTTGAAACTCAGGCATAGTTTTTCATTGTATATGTTTTCCTTGAACTTTTGAAGGCTCCCATTATATCCACATATGTGTGTGTATATACATATATATATATATATATATGTATATACACACACACACACACATATATATATGCATACACATATATATCCTCTGTGTATTTTATTTTGTTATTATGCCATAGTGTAATATACTGATTTTTGAATATTTTTTTTTCTTTAGAGACCCTATTTTTATTTTTATTTTATTTTATTTTTTGAGAGGTTTTTGCTATTGGGCGTGTGTGCTCATCAGAAAGACAGACAGAGACAGAAAGTGAGAAATCATCCCCTGGGTGGAGAAGGCCACGCCACAATCCCTTTTCCTCCATTCTCTTCTCGGAGTCTTGGGCACTCATGCACACATGCCCAGTGTGAATTTAAGCTACCAGTCCAGGACTTGAACTGTGGTAGAGTACATGGAAGTCCAGCAACATAGTCATTATTCCAACTGATGGTCCCGAGACTCTCTTTTTAAAAAGGTACTTTTTATGAAAGTTCATTGCATAGAACTAATTCCAGTAACGTTATTTTCTCCCAATTGTTCAGTTTCTTTATTCTCCTGAATTCCCCTATGGCAAAGTAAACTGATGCATTACAGACAATTTATTTGGTGTCATCATAACAAAAAATGCTCCAGTGAGGAGGATACATTTTAGGTTTTAGATAAATTTGTATTAAATATTTTAAGTAATATAGAAGATACACTATCCAGACAAACAGTACACACAAATAGTCTAGTAGATATGGAATTGAGGGAGGGTGTTTACTGGGATCAGTCACCTGAATAATATTTATATATTACTCAATCATTTCTAACCGTAGCCCAGGTAAAAACTTAAGTCATGCTAGATGATTTGTTTCTGGCGTGTATGTAAAGAATACCTATTTTGGGGCTAGTGAGTGGCATAGTGGCTAAGGCGCTGGACACAGTTCATGTGCCCAACTGTGGTCTCAATTCTGAAGCCCACGACTTGAAATTCACATGCGAGCATGCCTAAAATCCCAAGAGAAGAACGGAAGAGAAGAGATTGTGGGGTCGCCATCCTCATTAGGGAGTGATTTCTCACTTTTTCTCTTTGTCTCTCTGACAAGCACATATATACTCTATAACAAAAATCTCAAAAAAAAATAATAAAATCAAAAAGAAAGAAAACCCATTTGGTGTAATATATTGTCTCCAGTTAAAATAACAGCAAACTCAAAATGCCCACAATGTGCTTGCTATTAGGGTGATAATTCTAGACACCAAATACTTGAAACAGTTAATTACTTGTTTAAAGAATTATTTCATTTAACTTTATTTATTTGACCAGAGAGTGACAGTGAGAGAGACAGAAGGAAAGTGATTGAAAGCAAGCCTCTAGGTCCAGGACTTGAACTATGGTTGGCTATGCAGGAGTCCAGTGCCTTTAACCACCAGGTCACCTGCTAGCCACTGAAACAGTCAATTCTAACTTAACTTTTCCCACAACTCTAAAGGAAAATCTGATTTCATCGATGTGGACAAAAAGATTTAGGTAATTTACACCATTTCCCAAAGTATTCATTTGTACGTACCACAAAGGTAGGTATAGCAGAGACTATATCTGCCTGGGTGTACTTCCTGGGATGCTTTCCAGCATAATAACAAATACTCACTATTGTAATTGGATAGCATTTCCTTCCTTCTACATGAACAGTAGAGAGAAGAGCTTTCATAGTACTATATTTTGATGTTGGGGCTCATGATATTTACATACATTAATGTAATTTTTTAAAAGATTGTCTTGTAAAATACAAATTATGTCATATGATGTGATTGCAATTTTATAAATGTAATTATGTAATATTTATTATACAAAACACAAATAGTAAAGCTTAATCCTTGTATACCTAAAACCTATGGTTTTGGCCTTCTTAGAGTCTACAGATGCATCCACATTTCAATGGTGACCACCAAAATGTCTCTACTCATTGCCATGTTATTTAGGATACAAGTTATCACTATCTTTATCTCCAACTCTATCTCTGATTGTGTTTATTTCTTTGTCTGGTACATCTCCATTTCTATCTCTGTTTCTTTCTATATACTTATGTATATTTTATTTGCAGAAAGTAGGTTTATTTTAAGATACTCCAAATTTGAAATTAGGACTCATTTTATATGTGTTGGTTTTGTATAATAAAATACTGCCAGCTGATACAACTTAAACCTATTGATTATGCTGATGTATCTATCAAGAACAGGTTTTCTGATAAACCTGGATGGAAAAGCACAATCTAACAGTGGTGAATGAATTTATCCTCCTGGGAATCACAGACCGTCCTGATCTGCAGGCTCCATTACTTGGGCTGTTCCTCATCATCTATGTGACCTCGTTAGTGGGCAACTTGGGCATGATCATCCTCACCAAGGTGGACTCCAAGTTGCAAACCCCCATGTACTTTTTCCTCCGACACCTGGCTCTTACAGATCTTGGTTATTCCACAGCTGTGGGACCGAAGATGTTAGCAAATTTTGTGGTGGAACAGAATACCATCTCCTACTGCTTCTGTGCCACACAGCTAGCTTTTTACATAGTATTCATAGTTACTGAATTTTTCATTCTGTCAGCGATGTCATACGACCGCTACGTGGCCGTCTGTAACCCTCTGCTCTACACAGTCATCATGTCACAAAGGGTGTGTCTGGTGCTGGTGGCAATCCCCTATCTCTATGGCACATTTGTTTCTCTTACAGTTACCATCAGGATTTTCACTTCACCCTTCTGTGGCTTCAATGTCATCAGTCATTTTTATTGTGATTGTCTCCCCTTATTACCCTTGCTCTGCTCAAATACACATGAAATTGAATTGATAATTATGATATTCTCAGTTTTTAATTTAATTTCATCTCTTGTGATAGTCCTTGTGTCTTACCTGCTCATTCTCCTAGCCATTCTCAGGATGAAATCCTCTGAGGGCAGGCGCAAGGCTTTCTTCACCTGTGGATCCCACCTGACCGTGGTCACAGTGTTCTATGGGACTTTGATATTTATGTATGTGCAGCCTAAATCCAGTCATTCCTTTGACACCGATAAAGTGGCTTCTCTCTTTTACACCTTGATTATCCCCATGTTGAATCCCTTGATCTACAGCTTGAGGAACAAAGATGTAAAATATGCTCTAAAAAGAACATGGAAAAATGTATCTAATATTTTCTCTTAAAGTTTTTGTACAATATAATGCAGATAAATTATGCTGGAGACATAGAACTTGCATCTGTGTGTCTGCAAAAGAATAGCAATTACAAATGGGTCTGGCCAATGTTTAGAGACTGCCTCTATGCACCAATCATGGTGTGAGTGTCATACATTCAAAACATTTGTGTCCACGGCAGTAGAAGACTTTGCCTTACTTAGTGTGAAATATGAATTATAAACTGAACCAGTAAGTAAAATTTATAGGTTAACCAAATATTTAGGGTACTATAAACTGCAAGAGTTGGTTGGAACAGTGACCTAGTTTCATAGGAGTAAGGTAGAATATTAGGTACAGAGAATAGTTAAATTTATCCTTGTATTATCTTCATCTACTCCAAACAAGTTTTCAGAGTCTATATATGTGTTTGGGTATATTTATATTTTGTCTAAACTCATTCTTCCTGTTTTGACATTCATTGTCTCTACAATTGTGTTAAAGTCTAATGTGATTGCGATAAATTAAACTCAGTAGTGTTATGATCAGAAGAAACTGGTCATCTGAATTTGCTTTAATGTGCTGATTCCATGGGGTGCCTTAAAGTGCTTCCTTTTTTTCTCCAATTCCATTACTTTCACAGAAAAATCCCAGGCAATCTATCAATTTAACATACTTAGCACTTTAGCAGCTAAGAGGACCAGTGAGGCATCCAATTCTGTCTGTGTCCATTTGTCTGTATCAGGAGCTCTACTAATTCAGATAAATTTCATTGATGGAGTCATTATGAAAAATAGCATGGAGGTCTCTCAAAAATAAATAAATAGATAAATACAAGTAGAGCAAATATAAAACATGACTCAGTAATTCTTCTGCTGAGTATACACATAAATGGAATTTGGTAAGAGAAGATATCAGGTGCTCTTACCACACTCACAGAAAGGTTACTACGAGGATGATGCATATGTTGATTAGCTTGATGACAGCAATCATTGCAAGTCTTTGCATGAGACAGTGTGGTTTTCAAAGGATTAGATCAAGGATATATTTTTTTTTTTAAAAGGATAAGTTTCTTAAGGTCTGTTACAGAAGTTTCCAGAATTTTACAAATTTTTCCTATGTGCTTGATCTTTATTCCAGTCTTGTTTTTTTAGTGAGTTCTTGCTATTTTATCCTTAAAAAAAACAAGAATACCAAAATCTTGAAAGGAGGGAGAAATGGAAAAGAGACTGCAGTGTGATCATGCCCCATGGAGGGTATATTTTTGCTTTCCTTTACTTCTCTTTCTCTGTCTTTGTAAGTGCACATACCTCTGGTAAAAATGTTTAAACATAATACTGTGACCACATTGTCTTTGTTTCATTGCATAAGAAACTTACTTTATGATGAATAATTCCTCTTGCCCCCTTTTCTTGAGGCTTACCTGCCTCAAATTTGTTTCATGCGTTTGTATACATTTATTAAGATACTTTGTGTAACAGCATCAATTCATAACCCTAATCGGAGGAAGCAGAAGTAGATCATTCTGTGATTTGGACTATGCTATATTACTAATTTGTGGAGTGGCATGTACAAATATATATGCTTGTGATGACTTCTGCACATTCTTCTTCCTTCACAGTCCCAAGTCATCCCTTTTGTTCTATATTTTCATTATTTTTAACATTATGTAAATCTGGTTATATAGTACAGAGACCGAATTTATTTATTTGCTAATCCATTTATTTATTTATTGATATGGGGCACCCCTAACAATATCTTCACACCACAGTCCTCCCCTCAGCACTGCAGCCAGCCAAAACAGTAGGTACTTTTATGGGCTCTCCCTGTGTGTCCAGGGAGACTCAGAACTGGAACCTAGAGCTTTCCTGCATGGTCTCCAGTATCTTGAAGGAGTTGTTCCTATTGCCTGCACCATCATGTATAGATCAACATCAGACTTTTTTCTTAGCCCAGTATCATGAAATTCAACCATCAAGTAGAAAAGTTATTAGGCAGAACTTAAAAAAAAAAAGAAAAGAAAAAAAGATGCATTTCCTTGGCTTCATACTCTTATTATTCTCAAAATATTTCAATATTCAATGTTTAAATAAATATATTAAGTGTGCTACTGTCTGGATTCTCTCTTTCTTTATTTTTTAAATTGGAACTTCAAAATCTTTATACCAATAATCTTCTTTTTTCATATACATATGTATGTAGATATGTGTGTATGTGTTCGCATTCTCTTTTCCTATTTTTTTTTTTTTTAATTTTAGGGACTAGCAGTTGGCGTAATGGCTGTGTTGCTGGACTCCCATGCAAGTCCTGGACCCGGTGGCTTAAACTCATGCCAGGCATGTGTGCATGCGTCCCCAAGATCCTGAAGAGAGAATGGAGGAGAAGGGATTGCAACATAGCCATCCCCCTGGGGAGTGATTTCTTCCTTTCTGTCTCTCTGTCTTTCTGGCAAGTGCATGTGCTCTATAGCAAAAACCTCCCCCCCAAAAAAGTGTTTTTTAGAGAGTTGTGTTGTTTTGTTTGGTTTGGTTTGGTTTGGTTTTGGTAGGGTGTGTGTACTTTCCTGAGAGACAGTAAGAAACAGAGAGATAGAAAATGAGAAATCAGCCCCCAGGAGGGATGGCTATGCCACAATCCCTTCTTCTCCAGTGTCCTTTCGGAATCTTGAGCATGCACACACACACACACACACACACACACACACACACACACATGCCAAGCATGAGTTTCAAGTCACTGGGTCTGGAACTCAAATAGTTGTTGACTACATAGGAGTCCAGTGACATAACCATTATGCCATTTGCTAGTCTCTCTCTCTCTCTCTCTCTCTCTATATATATATATATATATATTTAAAACTGTAGACTATAAGGCTTACTCAGGTACTTTCTCTGAATATATACATTTATTTGTGTTAAGTTCTATCTAATATTTTTAAGTAGATCCTGTGGCTTTACTACACAAAATAATTTCACATCACATACAGGAATTAACATAAATATCATCTTTATGGGATGCTGTTGTGCATGTGTGCTATTCTGTAATATAATTTCACCCTTTTTTTTTCCTCATTAATGTACAATACACCTTTATTTAAAGGAAATTTTAAATATAAAACCAAGGCCAGTGACCTCTATCTTAGCTCTGATTTCCTCATACTCCTTAGGTTTTAGCATCCTAAAATGCATTTAATTCTTTTCATTAAAATAAGCATATTTCAATAAGATGCTGTTGCAACATATTATTATTTTAAATAAACTTCTATCAATAAAACATATTAGAATGTTGTTAAAAGCGTTGCATAAATAGAAGATGAATAATCGAAGGAATAGTGCATTGATTGTTCAGTTATGGTCATGATCTAAGAGGCTGGATTAAGGGCTGGAATGTCTAGCATGGAGTAATATCCTGCTAAACATATTTCTCCCCTGTTTACCTTTTTAATGCTTTAGGGCACGGTGTACTCACCAGGAAGACAAAGAGAGACAGAGAGACAGAAAGCGAGAAATCACCCCCCAGGGGGATAGCCACACCACAATCCCTTCTCCTCCATTCTCCTCCCAGGATCTTGGGCACGCACGCACATGTGCCCAGCATGAGTTTAAGCCATTGGGTCCGAGACTCGAACCACATTCAACTACATGGGAGTCAGGTGATATAGCCATTACACTAACTGCTGGTCCCTCCCCCTGTTTACTATTATAACCCTGACAGGAAGTTAAGTCACAGTCTGGAAAAATGAATGTAAATTTAAAGAAAACTCAAGTTAGTACCAGGTAAATTAGTACCACCACTTTAAAAATAAAACAAAACAAAAATCACAATGTACAAAATCTTTAAGAACTAGTTCCAGGTAACACACACACATTGAATCATTGATTCATTTTTCATCAATACTATAAAGTATAAAGACATATCAGCTTTGTGTGTGATAACAAAGTCTTAGATGAATTATATTCCAAAGTAACATTTATATAGACTATAAATTAAGATATAGCAAAGACAATAGCTATCAACCTATGTATTGAGATTGTCCTAGCCATTCTGAGGATACATTCCTCAGAGAGAGGCCATGTGGGAGTCCAGGGCCTTAACCACCACACTACCTGCTGACCCCAGACAGAGGACAGATTTCACACTGGGGAAGATTTTTCTTTTTATGAGACCTAAATAATCAGACATACATCTGCCAGAGGTTTCCTATTCAAAATATAAAAGTAATTCTAAAAAAAAAACCCAGAAAAATACAATAAAAAAAGAAAATATATGACTAAGCACACCTCAAAAGGAAATACATACATGTCTATTAAACATATAGGAAGGCTCTCAATTTTATTCAGCATTAGGAAAATAGAAAATAAAATGACAGGCATACTCATTCTACCCATAATGACTAAAAAGAAAACAACAAAAATATTAAGTTTTTAACAAGGATGTTAAGCAATCACAACTATTATGTCTTACTGATGGTAGTGAACACTGATATAGCTACTCTGGAAACACACTCCGCAATATTTACTAATGTTGAAAATGCATACTCTAAGCTGTTGCAATTTCAGTTTAAGAAATATACACAAATAGAAATTCAGGTAATGTTAATTAAAACATGCAAAGAATGCTCATACTCTCACTATTCCTAAAACCTCTAAAATAGTTTAATCCTAGTGATTGACCATAATGTAATAAATAACTAACCTGTGATATATCCCTAGTATTGAATCTTGCATAGAAACGAGAGTGAGCGGGACCAGCAGTTAACGTAATGGCTATGTCGCTGGACTCCCACGTGGTCGACCGCGGTTTGTGTCCTGGACCCGGTGGCTTAAAAAAAACTCGCGCCGGGCGCATGTGCATGCATGCCCAAGATCCTGAGAGGAGAATGGAGGAGAAGGGATTGCGGCGTGGCCATCCTCCCTGGGGAGTGATTTCTCGCTTTCTGTCTCTGTCTCTCTCTGTCTGTCTGGCAAGCGCACGCGCCCTATAGCAAGAAACCTCTCAAAAAACAAAAATAAAAAACAAATGAGAGTGAG